CAGGAATTTAAAGTCTTTGCATTTAGGGCATCCTCTTGGAAACCTGAAAAGAAATGCAAAATGAAGCCAGTTCTTTGCCTTTAAAAAAAGTAATTTGCCTGAGGGTGCATGCATTTATTCCCTGGAGAGAGAAAGAGGAAAGAAAAGTGAGAAAGCACCCCCCCCCCCATGGGGGATGGCCATGGCACAACTCTCTTCTCTTCCATCTCTCCTTTTGGGATTTTAGGCACACATGCACATGTGTTAGGCATGTCCTTTCAAACTAGGGGTCAGGGTGCGAGAAATGTGTGTGCATGTGTGTGTGTCTGTAGTGGGGGGATCCTGACTCGAACTACTCAGGAAAGCATGTCGAATTCAGCCACCTTAACCACCATGCTACTGGTGGAGTCTTTCCTTGCATGTTGCAGTAGTGAGTTTATTTTTCTCAGGTACTGGGAGAGTTAACTGTCAATAGTGGGCAGGCGCCATGGAGCCTCGGTCCAGGTGGACTGTGCTCTCACTCAATGGCCTTTTTCCCTTTCTGAGCTGGGGCTGAAGTAACTTCTCCCCCGTTCTTCAGTAAATGACTGTGAGACGGGGGTGGGCTATTTGTGTGTTCTCTTATTGTTTGGCACTTAGTTCTTCATCCTGTGACTTTGGAGGAGTCTCAGATATGCCAAAAACATGTTATATCACTCAGTATCTAGTTATCTCTGCTTCATTTGTACATCTTCCTGCCAAGATATTCATTTGGATTGCAGAGATGTGGTGTAGAGGCCCTGGGTTCATTGTGACCAGGCTGAAGTCTTAGCTCATCACTACAGCTTTATAACCTTGGATAAGTAGTTTGCCTCTGCACAGTCCAGCTTTCCGGTCTATAAAATGACTTAATTACAGTACTCATCGCCTGGGGCTGGTTGAGAGAATTAGACTGACCATGTTGAGCACATAATAAGTAATTTTGCTATTACGATTATTCCTATGTTTAACTAGTGTGCTTTTTTTGTTTTTCTTCTTTTTTTGGAGAGGTTTTTGCTATAGGGTGCATGCGCTCGCCAGACAGACAGAGACAGAGACAGAAAGTGAGAAATCACCCCCCAGGGGGGATGGCCATGCGCAATCCCTTCTCCTCCATTCTCCTCTTGGGATCTTAGGCACGCACACACATGTGTTCGGTGTGAGTTTAAGCCACCGGGTCTGGGACTTGAACCGCAGTCGACTACGTAGGAGTCCAGTGACATAGCCATTACGCTAACTGCTGATCCCCCAACTAGTGTGCTTTTTAAAGGATGGAAAGAAAAGTCATGGACCAGATGGTGACCATTATAAAATGTGATGCCCTGTGAGGCTGACTCATGTGATAAGGTTGTAGGTTCAAGTCCAGACACCTCCCTGAGTGTGCTGGGCACGACCCAGGGCTAGTGAAGGCTGTGAATGACAGAGAAGTCTGAGTCTCTCTCACTATGGAAGAAATAAAATAAACAGTACACAAAGAGTAAGATATTTAAGAGAGAACTGCCTAATAATTTACATTTTATTAGAAAAAGGGAGGCTAAATAAAGGAATGGTTTGAGCGTCATATACTCTCTATATAATTTGGTTATTTTGGCTATTGGAAGGAATATATGTGTGTGTGTGTGTGTGTGTGCATGTGTATGCCATAGAATAATATTTAGATGAAAAATCTAGGATAGATATGGAAATTCTATAGTGAGAAAGTAGAATATTCCCAAGATATTTTATTAGTACCTTTAGGATCCTAAAATGTGCAGCTCACCAATTTACGCAATCTCTTCTCTCTGTTCCACTTTCTGGAACCCTAAGGCTTCAAACATATTTAGCTGATTTGTTCTACTTACCTAGCATGCTCATTTTTGTCTTCAAAGTTATTTGTTTAAGCAGGGAAATGGTTTCAGATCATCTGTTTGTGTTTTGTTTATAGTCTGTCAGGATTTTCATAATTTTCAGTGGCTTCGAACTCTACCAGAGAAGGTTGCTACATGCTGTGACTTGGCATGGGTGCCTTCACTTCTGAAGCAATTAAAAATAATTCAAATTGGGTAATATCTCAGAGAATTTTTTTTTACCAGCTTATTGAAAAGAATGTTATATTTTTTCCAATTCCATTTTTCTCTCGTGATTAAAATCCAAGTATTTGACTACTTCCCAAGGTACAATTAGTAAATTATCATTGGGTTCAGATGTAAGACTCCAATAGCTTGCTTCAAGGTTTATAAAATGATCATTAATCAAGTTTTCAACAAGAACAATTAGCTATATTTTTGTTACTTGTTTGCAGATCCTAGGATTAAAGGGTCTAAATATATCAGTTAGTATAGTTAGTATTAACTGCATTCCATGCTTTGTTATTGTTCAATTACTTCATGAGGATTTTTCATATATATTTGCCTAATTAGTATTTCTAGTAAGATCTAGATAGTAATTGAAAACGACACACAGGATTAAAAATTAGATGTTCTATTGTTGTGGTTTGTTTCTCTTGATTCATTTCATGGGATTGGGCAGACAAGCAGTTTTAAAATACCGTCAAATATCTGACTTTGCTGCTTAGAGCAGGATTTCTTGACTGTGGTACTGCTGATGTTTTTGATCTGACTGGGTGTTAAGGACCCTCCCGTGCCTTTTCTGATTTGGGCAGTGCTTGATTTCTTCTCTGCAGATCTTGGCAGCAGATGTACACTGGTGATAACCAAAAAGCCCCCAGATATTGCAAATGTCTCCTGTGGTTAGAATTGCCTCTGGCTAAGAATAATTGCTTGAGAATACTTTAAATTTCATTATTATTATTATTTTTAATTTGCCAGAGGGCACATGTGCTCAGTAGAGAAGTGGTAGCCTAGTGAGAAAGACCGCCCCCCCATAAAAGATGGTCATGCTGAAATCCCTTCTTCATTTCTCCTTTTGGGATCTTGGGCAAGCACACATATGTGCCCAGTGTGTTTCTCAGTGCACGTCTGGAACTTGAACCATACAGTTGGCCATGTGGGATCCAGCTGCCTTAACCACTATGCCACTGGCTGACCCTATATGGAAATTTTTATATAATAGTATCATATCGAAATGTTTAATCTCCTCCAATAAAACGAATTAAGTTTATGGTGTATATATAGAAAAATAACTCAGCAAGCTAAGGAATCTATTGGGTTAAATTATGAAACTTTTTTATTTTAGGGAGAGATTTTTGCTATAAGGTGCATGCACTCACCAAAGAGACAGAGAGACAGAAAGGGAGAAATCACCCCCCAGGGTGGATGACCATGCCACTGTTCCTTCTCCTCCATTCTCCTTTCAGGATTTTGGTCACACATGTGCACGTGCCTGGCGTGAGTTTAAGCTGCCAGGTCTGGGACTCATATCGGGGTTGACAACGTGAGAGTCCAGTGACATAGCCATTACACATCTGCTGGTCCCAAATGATGAGACTCATTTCTGATAGTACCTTGCTTTTGTAATTTTTTAATAAAAAGCTAAATTATTGAATTAGTAGTTTTGAGGAATAAATTTGCTAACTCTGATACAGTAACACTGCATTTAGGAAGTTACTATTTCTACATGTCAATGCCTGGCTTTGTAACCCTAACTCACCAGAGCAGTTATCCTCTTAGCTAAATCTGATTATATCTCAGTAGCTCTGTGAGTCATTTATTAATACTATACTGTGTTGGCCTGCCAGAGGAATACAAGGATAGATGCAGACACAACTTTTGCCCTTGAAACATTTATAGTCGGGGAGAAACTATAAAATAACCTATTCCTTGCTGAGATGGATGTTATGAGGTATACAATTAAACTACAGTGGGCAGAGGGAGGTTCACGGGAACCAATGAAGCCTAAATTCCCAGCTGTTCACACTCCGAGGCTCCTTCCCAAGCCTCATTTTGTATGAGCTTTTTCTTCCTAAACAGAGGTCCTATAAATTGTGTAAATTTAAGGCTCTGAGTCGCATGAGTTTCCAGGGCTGGAGAGAAACAAACAGATGGATGCAATGGGGAATCACTAAAAGATGAACACACACAGGCTATCCACACTGCAGGTGTGGTTTTGGGTGCTACATCTGTTCTTCTACCCAAAACAGAGAGATTTGAGTCTTAGGGAGCTGAACTATGCCGTTCTTCTCTGTTTCCTAGCCATTTTTATTTCTCCACATAACACGAAGAACCTATAGCATCCAGTTGGGTGAGGAACACCGTCTATCCTGTGATTTAAAATGTGATGTGGACTCTGGCACACAGAGCTGAAGACGAGATTTTGAAGTAATTATAGTGGGTCAGTCCATGACCTGGTGGTTAAGGTAGCTGATTCCACATGACTGACCACATAGTTTGAGTCCCATTCCTGGTAGCTTGAGAAACATGTTGGGCACGTGTGCGTGTGTGTCCCAAATCCCACAGGCAGGGAGAGATGGAGGAGAAGGGATTACAATCTGACCATTTTCTACCGCGGGGGGGGGGGGCTTTCTCTTCTCCTCTTTCTGTCTCTCTGGAGAACTCAAGTGTCCTCTCGGGGGGAAAAAAAAGAGAGTGAGAGAAATAATAATAATAATAAAATAATGCTGCCCCTGGATGTCTGATTAAACGTGACAAGTGTCTTCTGCCAAAGGTCAGCTACGAGGGAGGAAGAGTGTGTGCACAAGACTTGGTGGGAAGAAGTGTAGGAGAAAGAGTGGAGGGAAGGGTGGAATTGACAGGTGGGAGGGAGATGGAGGAAGATGTGGGCAGGGTGACTGTCAAAGGCAAGGGGGATGGGGCTGGTGCAGAAAACCTAAGGTGCCATCTGGGTGTCTCTCCATGCCCTCTGGGAACCCATGGGAGCACCTGTTTCACATCTCAGACTTGTCTGACTTCAGAGAGAATTTCCCTTACTCTGCCAAACCCATTTGTCTTTGGAATGACTTTCAGAATGCACAAACTTGGCTCTACTCTCTTTGGGATGCTTCAATGAGAAATTCATCAAGTTCCTTCATTTACTTATTTGTTCTTTTTTTGTTTGTTTGTTTGTAGCTGCAAGAGACCCTCGGCTTTACTCCTGTCCCATCTACAAGAAGCCGGTTCGAACAGACTTGAATTTCATTGCTGCTGTGGACCTCAGGACAACACAGTCCCCTGAACACTGGGTGCTCCGTGGGGTCGCTCTCCTCTGTGATGTCAAGTAAAGTGGGGAGCAAACCCCACCCCATCCTCTGGGAAGTGCAGGATCCAAATGATGGTGTGTTTCCCCATGAGGCTCCTGCAATGAATGAGCTGAGGGTGTTGTAGCACTCCTTGGTGTGATGTTTAATTGCATTTGACCTGTTTCATCACTGCTGACCGGCTCTCCGTGTTTGTTGAAAAAGCTATATAGTGATTAAAAGGAAAATTTACAATTTCTTAATGAAGCGTGGCCTTCAAATCTACAGTAATGCATTTTCTTCTTCAATGGTAAAGGCTGATTAGGTTAAGCAGACAGTATTTCCCTTGAAGGGATTTTCTTCTGTTGACGCGGTTCCAGTAACAGCCGAGTTCTCTGAAGTAACACGGCAAATTTGTGCTGATTCTGCTTCTTGCCTTCTGCATTTAGGTCAGCTTAAGAGTTTTTTCCCAAGGTTTTAAGCAGCCAATTAAAAAGACCTCTTAAGAAAAAGAAGGAAATAGAATGGGTTAAGAATATGAATAGGTAATTTATGCAAACCCGTAGAATAAATATATAGAATAATATTCAGTCCAACTTCTAAGAAATAATGAGATACTAACTGATATCTTTTATAACAAAAAATTCAGGCAAAAGTGAATCAGTGTGGTGTCTATGAGACTAACACCCTCAGAAATTGCTAGAGCAATGTATATTGCTGGACTTAACCTTTTTTTGTGAAATAGCAGACCTATAGAGAAAGAGTCATACAATTTTTCATATGCTTTGATATTCATTTCTTTACACCAATGAAACAATGTAAAATCATATGTAATACAGAGAAGAACAAAAATAGGAGATGCCCTAGTGCTCAGTAGGAACGTTATGCTTAAGGAAGTTAGGGGTATTAGGCAGCCGGGAAAAACAATACTAACAATCTTATAATGTAGAAATAGTAAATACTGTACAATATTGGTGATTTCATAATGTAGAAATGGTAAGCACCACGATACTAGAGATCTCATGATATGGAAAGAGGAAGCACATACAACACCGAAGATCTGATAATGGGGAAATGGTAAATGCATGTGGTACTGAAGGCTTCGTGATATGGGAAGGGTAAACACACACTGTTAGGTGAAAGATACCATTTCAAAAATATTGAATATGTTGTGTTTATAACTAAAATACATTTACATAGGAACAAGGATTAGTTAATAGCATGAAAATAATAAAACCAGGCTTCATAGCATGATAACGATTACAGTTAGAATTGGCTTTTAAAAATACAGTGATTGGGAACCAGCAGTTAGCATAATGGCTATGTCGCTGGACTCCCACATAGTTGACTGCGGTTCGAGTCCCGGACCCGGTGGCTTAAAACTCATGCCGGGCACGTGTGCGTGCGTGCCCAAGATCCCGAGAGGAGAATGAAGAAGAAAGGATTGCGGAGTGACCATCCCCCCTGGGGGGTGATTTCTCGCTTTCTGTCTCTATATCTCTCTCTCTCTGTCTGGCGAGCTGCATGCGCCCTATAGCGAAAACCTCTCCAAAAAAAAAAAAAAATGCAATGATTAAAAGAAAAAAATAGGAACACAGTAAGACTTAAATGGTGTGTGGGGACTTCATATGGACTTTTATTAATTAGAAAGAGTATTTTCTAAGGAACTTCTCAGTTTTATTTTAGGTTCTGGTTATAAAGAATAAACTTTCAGATATTACATATTGACTAGAAAACTTGGCCAAGCTTGTGGTTTACAAACATCATTGAAATAACTGCATGTCTTTTTGTAAAAGCATTTTATGGGGAGGGTAGCTACCAGGAGACAGGTATGGGCCCTCCTCCCAGCATTCATCCGATGTGGCCAGTATCATTGTTTATGCTAATGTGATCAAAGTTAGGCCTCAGCAGTTCCTGCCACTCCTCCCATTTGGATGATACTATTTTCCCTGGAGAAGCTTCTTTGGATTCATCTGTCAGTTGATATATATGCTGTGTGAGAAGTAATCATTCTGTTTCGAAGAATGACTAACAAACGTGCGAAATGATATGAATTAATAAAATGTTATTTGTAGATGCCTAAGTTGCAATGATTGTTTGTTAGAAAGTGGGTTAATTGTCATTAAATATTCAGGAATAATCTTTCAAAACTGGATTTTTAATCAAATAGTTTGAAAATGTATCGCTTACATAATTTTGAGAGCCCACCTGATGCTCTGCATGTGTTAGTCTTGGAGACCCAAAGTAGAAATAAGTAGAGAATTTTAGCAACAACTTTTAACACGCATGTCCCTGAAGCACTGACAAGCTGAAGAGGCCCCATCCTACTCGGCCCCCACCCCAACTCCTCCTGCAGAGGTCCCTGAGCACGCTGCAGAAGCAGATAGGCCAGGGAGATCAAGGGACAGAATCTGTCTGATGATGGAGAACCACCCTGATTGCCTTGGTTGTGTAGAAACAACAGTGAGGAGCCAGGCACCACTGCAGTTCCATCGGTCTCCATATGGGTTTATTAAAAAACTACATATTTCACACTCCTTCTGTGTCCAGCACTCTGCCGCCCTGGTGGAGCAATAGGGACTAGAAATTTTCACAGGCCTGAGCTCATAAATTTCACCTAAGGCAAATAGACTTGGATAGTAGGTGAGTGGGGAGGAGTGTGGAATTAACAGGTAGGAGGGAGATGGAGGAATTTGTGGGCAGGGTGATAGGGAGGGAGGTAGATATGACAACAACTTACAAGTGTATTCCATGGCCTGTGGAATAGAGGAAGATATTTAGATTGCGGTTGAAGTGCTGTGAAGGGCAATGCTGGGTGCCATGAGGGAGAATAACAGGGAAACTGCTGCATCTCAGTGTCATGGACAGCTACAGCATCCCCACATACTTGTGTATTTTAAATTATTATCTTAACTGGCAAATCAGAACCGGGTTCCTTTTGTGGAGTACAATAAGACGTTTTCATAGGTGTTTATGACGTGGGGATGATTACATCAAGCTGATTCATCTACCAGTCACTTACTTGGTATTTATTTTAATAAGGACACAGAAGGGAACAGCAGGGCGGTGCTCCCTGGAGCAGCCTGCAGATCCTGCCTGATATTCCTTGGTTCTCTGAGTGTCCTGTGCAGCCCACAGCTGCTAGTGACCCTCTTTCTGCAAATAGGGAAACTCTCGCCTCAGGTCAGACTGTCCTTTTATACTAGGGGCTACATCATCATCCCATAGAAACTCAGCTCAGCCTTCTCTGGGCTTTCCTGTAAGAGAATATTGGCAAACATCAGACCAAGTCAGAATGGGTGAGGTTTTGTCCCCATCAGGGCACCCAGCAGAACATGGTCCAGCTGTTCCTGAGCATCGTCTGTCCCCTGGGTGCTCTTTGCCCGCAGAGAACTAGTTTGATTGGGCCGTAAGGAAAGACTGCATGCAGAATTGACATCTGAATTTAGATTAAAGGAGAAAGGAAGAACATGTCAGAACCACAGGGGTTGGGAACTGGCCTGTGGCTCCCTGAAAGGGACAGTGAGCAGGATCTGCAGGAAGAATGGCAAGAGCACCAGCTGGAGTGGAAGGCTGAGGGGTGCTGCCTTCTAAATGAGAGTTCACACCTTTCCGGGATGGCTGCTGATGGGAAGCATGAGTTTCTGAGTCACTGGAGTGAAGAATCCTTGTCTTTGTGGAATGGTGTGTGCATTGAGCAAATCTCACTGTAAAGAATGATTATTAAGAGAAATAATGAGGGGCCAGCAGGTGGCAAATTCCTTACTAGGTAGTTACTATACTGGACTCCCACATGGTCGACTGCGGTTTGCGTCCAGGGCTAGCAGCTTGACACTCATGCCAGGCATGTGGGCAAGCATGCTCAACATCCCAGGAGGAGGATGGAGGAGAAGGAAGTGTGCCATGGCTATCCCCCTGGGATTATCCCCTGGGGGATAATTTCTCTTTTTTTTTTCTCACTATCTTTCTCTCTCACTCACTCTCTAGTGAGTACACCTGTCCTATGGCAAGAACCATAAAATAGAAAAGAAAAATATAAAGAGACAACCACAAATTTCATGGTTAGGTAGCTTGGAGGGTCAGATGGTGGCCCAGTGGTAATGTGAGGCTCTGTGATACTGGACCCATGAAAGTCCTGGGCTAACATCCTGAGGGCTCCCTGCACACGCTGGGTGCACAGACGACGCCCGTGACCCAGGCTGGCTGAGGCCTGGGTGGATAGTGTTGTGAAGACCCTGTTGGGAGTGAATGCCCTTTCCCCAGAAGAAATGAATAAATAAATGAACTGGAGAAAAAGTGGGCCAACTGATGGCATTGTGGTTAAACTTTGTAGTTTCAGTTGCAGGTCCAGCAGCTTGAGAATCACACTGGACACCTATGTATGTGCCTGAAATCCCAGGAGGAAAATGGAGGAGAGGGATTGCTGTGTGGTCATTCCCCCTGGGGCGAGCGGGAGGGGGATTTCTCACTTTCTCTCTCTCTTTTTGTTTCTCTCAGGTAAGTGCACGTGACCTAGAGCAAAAACTGAAAGAAAAAAAGGAGTTTGTAGAATTTTACAGTTTAGATGAATTACAGAACATCAATGTTATCAATTACAAATTTTTGTTTAAAAATGAAACATTATATTAAATTATACTTGTGGATGCATAGTGATACTATTGTTTCTGAAATTTTTGCTGTGCAATGCTCTTTAGTAATAATAAAAGTAATGAAATCTAGGTATGAACAAATTTTTTTTCCTTAAAAACAATTCTCCCTCTCAAAAAAAAAAAACCCTGCAATATATTTCGTTTTTCTTAAATTGGCCCTGAAGAAGTGCTTAATTACCCTAACTTTTTTTTTTTTTCTGGCTTTTGTCATAGGGCATGTGCACTCGCAGTGGAGGCGGGGGGAGTGATAAATAATCTCCCTGGGGGTATGACTACACCACAATCCCTTCTTCATTCTTCTCCTGGAATTTTGGGCACTCATGCACATGTGCCCAGCATGATATTCGAGCTGCCAGTTCAGGATTAATCAGTCAGCTAGGTGACAATTCAGCACCTTAACCACCACCCCATCAGCTGGCCTCAATTGCTTTAACTTTAAAAATAATATTCCTGGCAAGGATTAAGAGCAATGTTTAAAATTATATTGTGTAACTAATTCCTGTTGATTAGTAGCCTCTGTCAGCATACCAAAATAATGCCTCCTAAGTGTAGACAAATGGTACAATTATATCCACAATACAGTCCTCCAGATTGGGTGAATGCTATGGAAAACTGATAAATTAGTAAGTTTTGAAAACAAAAGAAAACCTAGTAGAATTCTTGGGGCTTACGCATTGTGGTCAGTTGGCGGGCATCCGCTGTGTCCAACATGTGCATGTCAAGTGTCCATATGTATCTTCATTGAAAGACGAGGAGAGAATTCAAGGTCAGCTTTAGAATCAGATATGAACTTTGGCTAAGAATTCACAAAGTCTTAGCTATCTTAAACATATTCTGTATTACACTTGGACAGAATGAGCCTTATCAACGCAAGAGTAGAATGTGTTGCTTGTCTAATCGACACTCTGAGAAGGTTTTCTGATTCCGATCTTCAACCTGCAAGATAATAGAACTGAACAGCCAGGTAGATGGTAATTATAGACAGAACCCTACTCTTTCTTTTTTATCGGCATGAAAAGAAATGAAAATATACAGACTAGATGGGGGAGGAAGAAACCGGAGGGTGGAAGGAAACATCCCAAGTGGGATACTGTGGTGGCTAAGAAATTGATTCAGGGTTCTTTTTCTCAGATCCTATTAGAACTTGCTTATTAGCAATAACCTGGTGGATCAAGGAATGAGTTGATCTCAAAACTCCTTAAATGAGCCTTTAAAAAATGGCTTCTTTATCCCCTGGATTTAAAATTTTTCATTAGGAAATGGCAATCGTATTGTGACCTTATATCATCACATCAGGGACTTAAAGGATTTAATCTGAGAATTTATAAAAGTCCTATCAGATCCTCTCTCTTAGGAATGCTCATAAAACCACTGTGTGGAGATGGCTAATGAGTATCCTTTCTTTGCTTTCTCTGATTTAGGACTCCATTTAGTTTTCCAAGGCTCTGGATTTATAGGCTGGCTTAATTGTTTCCAAGTTTGGGTTTATGTTGGGTGGGTGCAGAGCCAAGACTGGGAGCCTTGTCCTTTCTTTAATTTGCATGCCAAATGGTATTTTTCATTGGGCAATATGTTATTGTTCCTTGCTGTGTGTCTTGTGGGTAAAGCTAAGACAGATTGTGCACCCTGATGCTTCGCCCCTATTCTAGTAATGTTTTATGATTACCGTAATACCTTTCT